TCCCTTGACCCCATATACTAATCCTAATAAAAACAGGTTATATCACTGAATTTTTAATAATTCTGTTTAGCAGTTCATGACTCAATGCTTGATTCTGGATTATAACCCACCACTACCAGACCAGCCTTGATGCTGGATTTTGGATAAGCTTTTTTCAATTTTTTTTTTTTTTTTTTTTTTTTTGCAGATCTGGAATAGAGTCTTAGACTTGTGGCCCAACACAAATGCAAATGCTAGCTAAAATTCCCAGAGCGCTCCTTCAGCTTTGCTGTTCCACATGGTCACCTTGTCAACAGTCATGGTTAACACATGGGTCCCACACACATGGTCTTTGTGCAGCATCAAGGCTTGAGGTCCTATATGATAGGGCTACCGATGAGGCATAATGCACTGGTCCTATTTAGCAGCTACTTACTGAGTTTTTGTGAAGTGTCAGGTACTGATCTGGATGCTATGGAAAAAGGGGGAAAAAGTGTAGGGTACACTCCCTTAGATCAGAAGGAAGGACCAATGAGAGCTTAGAACACAGTAGCTTTCAACCTAGGATGTTTTTCACCCCCAGGGGACATTTTATAGTGTGTAGAAATGTTTTGGTTTTTACAGCTGGAGGGTGATAGCGGTATAGGTGTCAGAACAGAGGAGGCCTTGCTGCTACATGCATCTTGTGTGCATTAGGGGTGCTGAGCATGGTACGCAGGAAAGCCCTCCCACAATAAAGGACTACCAGGTGTGAGATGGCGATAACGGAGAGGTTGAGGTACCTCAGAGAGGTGAAGCCCACATAAAGAACTGGCCATTTAGGGTGGGATCTAATGAAACAGCACAGGCCTGGATGGACAATGTCTGCTTTAGGACACCACCAGAAGAAGGGAGCACATTGCAACGAAGTTCTTTTCAGAAGTGTTCAAAGTATCTCTGGGAATAGAGCAACTGGGAGAGGGGAGTACAGTGTGAATGGGTAGACAACAGAGCCAAGTGCTGAAGTCTTCAACCCGGAGGAAGGATGTCATATGGAAGACAAAGAGCTGTTGCCTGAGGCTGATTTAGGGAAGGGAGTACTCAGAGCAAAGACCCGAGATTGAGTACAAACACCCAGGCACAACTTTAGCTCTAGGTCCTGGATCTGTGCGCAGTGGCTCTTTGACTCTTGTAGGGAGTAACCTGCCTAAACTTGTGTTCCACATCTGGTAAGTGTTCTCTTTTACACACACACACACACACACACACACACACACACACACACACACACACACCAAATCAAGGTCCTCCTATTTATCCCTGGCTTGCATTGTGTTCACTGTGTCATCCAAGTTGCCTTTGAACTCACTGCAGTCCTCCTGCTTCAACCTCCCAAGTGCTGGGATTACAGGTATGTGTCACCAAACTCATTTTTTTAAGGCACAGTTGATGTGCTTTCTTGACAGGTTGGCTTGGAGTGTGAAAGAAAAAGGTGAGTCCAAGATGACTCAAAAGTCGTTGGCCTGAGCCACTTGGAATAAAAACTTGCTTTTGACGAGATGGAGAAGGGTGGGTAGAGAAAGTTGGGGAAGGGAAGGAGAAAAAGAGCTCAGATTTCATCTCAACACCGAGCTGAGGTGAATACTAGACATCCAAGTGAGGAGTTTGAGAATTTGGTTGGGTGTGTTCAGCTGGAGTTCATTGGAAATGGACTGGATGTGTACATTCATGTGTCATGGGCTGACGGATAGTTTTTAAGCTACGGGAGGAAATGAAATAATCAAAGGAGGGAATGAGACAAAGAAGAGAAAGGATCAAAGGCTTTGGAGGCTATCTGAAATTAAGAGGCCAGGGAGGAAGATGAGGAAATGGTTGAAAACTGAGAACAAGCCTAAGGGAATAAATACAGTGTCAAATGCCGCACAGGTCACATGAGAGGAGAACCTGGAACTGACCACTGGATCCCACAGTGTGTGCGTCACTGGCGACCCTAACACGAGCAGTTTTTCAGAAGAAAGAGAAAATAGGCAGAGAGCAGCCAGGAGCAACAAGTGTAGGCTATTCATTTCTGGGTTTGACCCTGATAGTGTAAAACTGGTGGAGGAAACACGATTACGGGCCCATCTGTTTTGTTCTATGAACTGTGGCTGAATGAACAGTGTATCTGTACTGACAGAAATGGCCTAATAAGAAGGGGAAAACACTGACACAGGAAGAGGAATGTCGGTTAAAGTTTTAAGTTTGAATACCTCTGCATGGCATTTTGTCACGACGTATCTTGTGGGACTGCTTCACTTATTTATATAACCTGTACTTAATTCTTCTCCTGGACTTAATAGACACAGATCTAATGAGCCTCTACAACAGCCTGGCAATAAATGGGTCGGAAAGTCAATTGGACCCATTCCTCCAAATGGGTCCATAGAGTTTTGAATGGCTAATGTAACCTCTTTCTGAGGAGTGGTTTGTCTGTCTGTCTGTCTGTCTCTGTGTCTCTGTCTTTCTCTCTGGCAGTTTGCTCACACAGACATCATACAAAGCTGATGGAAGTTGACAGAAGCAGCTGGAATGTGAAAACCCAGTAATGTGATATATTGAAGATTTTTTAGGACTCAGAAATTAATTTTATCTTCAAGCCTGTAGTAAAAGAAAAGGGAAAGTAACTAAGTCAGAGTGAGTCATAATGACAACAGGAGCTAAGGGACATCTTTGTCAGGGACTGGCCTCAACCCAGGGTGGAAACCAGAGTTTATAACTGTATACCCAATGTGTCAGAGGTTCAATGACTACACAGAGGCTGAGACTAAATCAGAGAAATGCAGAACTTTTGTGTGAATGCTGGCTTGGCAGGGGTTAAAAATGGTAGCCAACTTCTAAAATGGCTCAGCCATCTCCACCTCTTTTCTTATTCACTTTTCTCAACCTACATTCTACCAAGGCATGGCAAGGGTGTGGGGAATCTGGAAGTGTTAAATTAAAATGACTCTAAACCTTCTGATTTCTGGTTGGATCACACTGATGGAACGCTGGAGGAATTGTAGGCAAGATGCTTGGAGCCATCTGTATCCCTTAACTTCAGACCAAAGCTGCTGTTAAAATGAGCTCTTTTCCACTTTGTTTCCCCTCTTTCTCATAGTTCTTTTGGACTTAAGGAAAGCGATAGTTAAGGATAGCACCTTGCTATCTGTGGTTCCCTTATCCCCCTCTATAGTTTTGTGATTAATGCCCTTCTAAGTAGCTCTTTTATGGGACTAGAGAGATGGCTCAGTAGTCTGATGCTCTCGCAGAGGACCGGAGTTAAGTTCTCAGCACCCATATTGTGTGGCTTACAAGTGCCTGTAACTCTGGCTCCAGGAGATCCAATGCCATCTGCCATATTCCAGCTTTTTATTGAACAGGTTTCAAAAGACATTTAATCAACAAGACCAAAGCCCATGGCATCATCATGTTCTTCATTTGTGGTTACCACTTTCTCCTCCTCACTGGGGCAGCAGCAGTCTAAGGGGTAAGACCTTCATTCAGTTGTCAAGGCATTAGCCACTGGAGTGCCCGTCGCTGGCACACCAGCCACTGGAGCAGGTCCACAAGCTCCAACCTGGTATATGAGGGTCCTAATACTGACACTGGAGAGGGCCTTTACAAAAGAACCAGACCCAAGGGGCTCAGTGTGGACACCAGTTGCTTTAATGAGAGCAATGGTTGTACCCCCAGTGATGGCTACTTATCACCATGCAAGAAGCAGCAAGGTGAGTTTGGAGACTGAGGCCCTGGTGTGGACCTGTGCCAGTCACTACCAGAGGGAGGACCCAACTCCAACATTGCCCTAGTTTCTGAGAAAAACCAAGGATTTTGGCAGCAGCTGAGAAAAGACAAGGCTAGATTATTTTATTTAAAAAGAAAATAAACCTCTATCATTCAACTTTTAATCAGTTTTATGTCTTCGCTTATCGTGTCTGCACGTATATGTACTATGTTTGTGTCTGGTGCCCGGGAGGCCTGAGGAGGGTGCCAGATGCCCCAGGGCTGGAGTTGTAAGTGGTTGTGAACTATCACATTGGAATCCAACCCTTTCCTCTGAAGGAGCAACCAGTGCTCTTACCTACTGAGCTATAGCTCAGGGCTAGATTCCTGATCATGAATCTAATATATGTCTCTTATGAGCCTAGTGTTCCCTGGCTCAATGAACTACACAACTGAGCTTGGAGGGATGTTACAAATTATTATGTGCAAGTGGTGATACTCAGCTATTACCCTTCAGCCCTGACCAGTGATTCACAATTACTTCTCTGTGAGCTGAGAAAAGAGGTGAAGGAGCTGGCCTCATTACAGGTAGGTCTGCATGGCAGGCCTGTACATATAGGAACTACACAGGTGACACTGTAAGAGTCTCTTTCAGAAGCAGCTTGGAAATTAATGTTGAAAGGAGGGCCTTCCAAGACTTCGGGGGGGGGGGGCGTCGAGTTTGCTCTCTTAGGGAAAGAGGTAGTCTGAGCTATTACCAGACAGGAGTTCATGGGTAATGGCAAACAAACAAGATAGGTTATTAATCTGGAACTAGGGAAATAAATACGGCTGGGAGATTGGTGATCTAACCTAAAATTAGACAAAGATTATCAGTTATCTGTAATGAAGTTGAGAGCTTACTTTTTCATTTCAAAAACCTTCCAAACAAACTAACAAACTATGATGGACCTGACTTAAAATTCCCGCTAATAGATTTCCTTGGCAAACACTGTTTCTGGAAGCCATTCTTCTATACTGACAGCCGACGCTAGCCATAACAAGCAAATGGAGTCCACTGGCCATTTACTACTACTCACAGACAAAGGAAATGCAGAAACCAGGCCAGAGAGAAGAGCCTGAGAAGGGAAACCACACTGGCCAGAGTGCCAGTAACTTTTTTTTTGTAACCATTTTTTTTTTCCTCCACTACTGAAGACCGTCACAATGTTCCCATACTTCTGACCATTCGTGGTTCCCGCTCTTAATTGGGAGCACTGCCAGCTTTGTGCACACACTGTGGTGGCTTCATGACAGTGACAATGATCTCCTTTTCAGATAGTACCTTCCAGTCCGTCCTCTGCTGCTGCTGCTGCTGCTCAGTGCAGAAGAGGTGAGTCTGCTTTGAGGGCAATTTCTTGGAAATGGGTGAATGCAGTTTCTTGACTGTTAAGCCTCCGGTCTGTGCCTCACTCTGTGAGTCTTCCATTTTGGTATATGACTGTGTAAGAATTAAATCAAGGCATCTCGTCAGTGGTCATTTCATAAGCGCTGTGCTATGAGGTTTGCATTTATTCTTTCACGTAGCTCTTAAGACCTTCCATGGTGCTTTCCTTTGTGATTCTCACTTTATAGATGAGGAAGACAGAGGCTTAAAGAGGTTACTTTACTTTGTCTGAGGCCAGCTGGGGTGCACACGTGTGTTCTTAATCTCTCACTTTTTACATGTATAACAATAGGTGATATAGATGAATTTTGTGCTCTGCCTAACTCAGAATAAGTGGCTGCTGGACTGACTATAATTTTAGGGTCGGCATAAGTACCAGACTCTGGGCATATGACATATTCTTGCAACTTTATTTCAAAACGTCTCTGAATTCACTTAGCCTCTCTAACTTTTGGATACAGAAAACAAAGCCTTCAGATTTCTACTTCATTTGCTGAAGTACTTAGAAGAAATAGGAGGAATTTGCTGGGCGTGGTAGTTCACGCCTTTAATCCCGGCACTTGGAAGGCAGAGGCAGGGGGATGTCTGGGAGTTCGAGGCCAGCCTAGGATACAAAGCAAGTTCTAGGATAGCCAGGGCTACACAAAGAAACCCTGTCTGGGAGGGAGAGAGGGAGAGGGAGAGAGACAAGGAAAAGGAGAGAGAGGGAGAGGGAGAGAGAGAGAGGAAAGAAGATAGGGAGGGAGAGAGAGAGAGAGGGAGACAAAGATTTTAATTTTTTTTTAAAGACAAGATACCCAGGTTGCTTTATCTCTGAAAGGATCTAAAGGATTTAGGAATATGCTTGTTATGAACAATTGTAACACGATTGCTTTTCAATGATAGACAAGTGAGAACACAGATAAGCCTGAGCAAAAATGAAGAACTTTCAGAAAAATATTCCCATCACCAGAGGCCATGGTTCTCCAAGCTCACGAGCAAAAATCAAGTGAGTACCATTTTCACAGGGCACCCTGGCACAGGCAGGCTCTCTGCGGCAGTCCTGCTTGCGGCCTTGTCCCCAAACCAGAAGCATGACTGGTATGCAGTAAATGCTCAAGAAGAAAGTGAGGGAGAAACCCAGTTAAGCTAGGCTACTCTGCTAATCTTCATAGAGTCTGAGACACAGTGAAGGGGGGAGGGGGATAATTTTAGGCTCCCGCCATCTTGAGTTAAGGGTTAAGTCTCAGCTGAGTGTTGGGAGGGAGAGCTTGGGAGGACAGCAGAGTAAGCTTACAGCACGGGGGAAGGGAAGCATGTCTCTTCTCAAAGGTGAAGAATGGAGAACAAATGAAAGGGTTTGAGAGTAAGTCCTCTTTAGGAATCACGACATGAGAGGCTCCAGGGCTGGGCTGCCGAGAGAACTTTGCGATTTCAAGGAGTCACAAAATGACAAGTGTGTTCTTGGCCCCCCATGCTGCGTTGCAGTCAGCCATTTGCAGCACTTGTCCCTGGGCAGCAGAAGTGTGATGGAGGCAGATGTGCATGCCCTATACTTTTTTTTTTTTTTCCTTTTTGGTACATATGACTAAAACAATAAAATTATAAGAGAAATCTTGGTTTTTACAGTCGAACAGAGTCAGGGTGCAACCTTCAAAATGCAAGCCCCTGCCTCCGCTCCCGGTCTCAGAGCTTGCTGAGGAGAGGATCCAGGTCAAGGCTCTTTATGATTTCCTGCCCCGAGAGCCCTGTGATTTGGCACTGAAGAGAGCAGAGGAATATCTGATAGTGGAGAGATGTGATCCTCATTGGTGGAAAGCCAGAGACCGTCTGGGGTAAGATGATGGCTGAGTCTTTCTTAAATATCTTCTCTTCCCAACCTCTGAAGATGTCAGAACAGAAAAAAAGTCCCTGTATTGTGGCTCATTGTCTCCGTGCTTGCAACTTTTCCCTCTGCACGGAACAGACAGCCTCCACACCCCTATTTGTAAGAGAATGTTAGATCACAGTGACTTCCAGCAGACTTTCGAAACCAGATACGCTATCCTTCAATCCCCCATGCTACCACTTGGCTGTGCGTGTCCTGGAGCTTTGACTTGTAGGATAGGAATAATAAGGACTGGGGAAATGCCATAAAGCGCTTCACTCACAAAGGTGGGGACCGGAGCTTGGATTCCTAGGGCACATAAAAGTCCAGTGGGCCTGGTGGCTCTCCTGTAACCCCAGAGCTAGAGAGAGGCCAAGAAAGGAAACCCCTGGAGCAGGATGGTTAGCTAGACTAGCAGACCTGGGGAACATGGAGATGATTGAGAGACTTTGCCTCAGTACAGAAGGTGAGAAGCTGTCAAGGTGGACCTATATGAATTCGTTGATATCATCGTGACTAAGCTAAAAGTACAAACTGCCAAGGTATTGGGTCCATTATTTTTAATATCTACAATGTATATGTATTTTAGTTTGCCCCCCTCCTTGGTTATAAATAACGAACAGCCCTTGGACTCAAGTAAGGCTATTCTTATGAGTTCAGGGCTCAACAGGGAAATTCCTGATTCCCTGCAATTCCCATGCTTCCCTAGACACAGAAGCTGCTGGTGCCCGTCAGCAGGAGAGCAGGTTCTCTCTTTTTCCTGTCCTTTTATCTCCACTAGAAATGACCAAAAGACCACCAAGATGTATTATTGACAAACTGAAGGCAAGCTGTAGAACAAGTCTTAATTTGTGATACATTAAATTTAATTATGTAAATTAAATCTACAAACAAGTTCACATATCTCAAAATGGAGCCTATAGCTCACTGGACATGATAAAGTGGACAGTGCTGTTATGTGCAGGAGACACTGTTTGGAAGTAGTGACTGTATAAAAAGAGGGGGCTCCGTGAAGAAAGTGCCAATGTGACTGCTCCATTATATGGCTAGGTGTTCATTGTAGATATGAGACAGAAACAAGAGAAACAAAAGCAGGTTGAACAGACTGGAGATGGATGGGGCTAGGGACATGGGAAAGAGTCATGCAGATAGCAAGAAATAGAGAATAGCAAGAATAGAGAATAGCACAGTAGGAGAGGGTAAGATAATAAGAGAGAATAAGTATCCATAGATGGGTGGATAAATAGATGGTAGATACACAGATAGATAGGTAGTAGGTAGGTGATAGATGATATATTAAATAGATAGAGAGTAGATAGATGAGAGATTAGATGATAGATAGGTAGATAGATGATAGATAGATGATAGATAGATAGATAGATAGATAGATAGATAGATAGATAGATAGAGTAATGAGAACAGCAGGGGTGTGGGAAACCTTGGCATTATAAAGAGAACAGAGATGTCTCTATCTGGAAGGAGAGAAGCCTGGGGAAGTGAGAAGGGTTAGGATGTTAGTGTGGATCTTGAAAGATATAATAGGTACTTATGACACTAAGGGAGCCTGGAGGCTGCCATGGGCTTTGATGGGCAACCACAGGTGGCTGTTTGTCCCTTCTGCCGGAGGTAAGGGAAACGGAGCATCCCAATAGTCCACCTATAGTGAGGCCAATTACACAGTCCTCAGACTACTGTGTGTTTTCCACTGAACAGCACACACTGAGGCTAAACTCAGAGCCACATTCATTTTTCTTTTAAAATACATATTGGAGCTGAGCATGGTGGCACCTGCCTGCAACCTTAGCGCTCTTAAGGTGATACAGGAGGACCTGAAATTTGAGGTCAGCCTGAGTGGGCTACATGGTGAGATTATTTTAGCAAAAGAAAATCGTCAAATACTCTTTTAAAATAGTTAATTTACACGTCAGGATCTTGGCATTTACTGTATAGAGATTTTTATGGAATTGAAAATGAAAAACATTTTTATTCTTTTAACAGTTTAATGAGTAAGATGCTTCTGATTTCCCCATACATCTTCGGATTTAAGCAACTGTTGTCATGGTAACGTTACAAACCCATCTCCCGTTTTGAAATTTTTTTTGTGTGTGTGTCATAGGAATGAAGGCTTAATCCCAAGCAACTATGTGACAGAGAACAGACTCACCAACTTAGAAATATACGAGTAAGTGCCCCCTGCCAAGCGTGCACTGTGATTAACCTTTGAAACTCAGGGACCTGTCAGGAACTTTGAAGTGTAGACAGTTTTCAAGTTTGTAAAAGAAAAAGAAAGTAACACATTTGAGAGCCTTAGCAATAGAGACCTCTGATACTTATCTCGGCTGCTTCTGAAAATCCTTCCTAAGCTTGTGTTTGTTTTGTTTGGTGTGGCCATGCCTTAGAAACACGGACACACGTGTGGCACTGAAGCTCCTACATGGAACATTTACTTTTCAAAATGACAGACTGAATCCCACCCTGTGCAGCAGCCAGTTGTTAGATACTGTTTCTTGTTCTGACACTTTTTGGAATGGCTAACGGTACCGTTTGAAAGAACCTTAAGTTTATGTTCATAAATTTATGCTTTAAAAGTCTTTCTCTTTTTGATGACAATTATAACTTTGGAACCGGGAGATCTGAGCGATGACTTCGTGGATCTTCACTCTCCAGGTGAAAAAGTAAGGCTGATAGATTAAGCTATAGGTACAAAGTGCAGAGCCAGGCACTAGTCCTATATTTTTACAAAGTTACATTCTCAGTTTGAATTCATGCCTCTTCTTATCTTGCAATTAGCATATGCTTGATAAGAGTAGTGGTACCAAGTATTTCTTGAGACTGGACAGCAAATACAAAGGAAGAAGCTTCCTTAGCCTTGCTTTGGCAAGATTCAGTACACATTTCCCTAATATAACTCTAATTCCAAAAGTTTTGGTGACTATACAGGCTTTCTTGGAGCATAGATGAAGATGATTAACAGGGCATGTGGCACATCTTACATGACTTTCCTAGACTGCTCTGTTGGCTAATCTCTTCCTCCTTCCCATCATGCTCCTCAGCTCCATCATAAAATGTCTCCACTCTTGTCCACCTCAAATGTCCTTTCTGTTGACCTGACCCTTTGGCCTAAGATTCCAGTCTCCACTCTTTGCCCCTTTCAGGGGACTGAGCTACTTCCCTTAGAAATCACTTTACATGCATTTTTGGTCACTCAAGCCTGGCCCATGGCCTCACTGCTCCCCTGTGCTGAAGCTGACCAACAGAACAAGCCTAGCTTAGAGGAGACAGTGTGTGAAACCCAGCCTAGAATAATTAGCAAAGTAGGACATTTTTCATACTGTTGTTCAAGTCTGTATTTTCCAGTGGATCAGAGGAGACATGTGGGACAGTGGCCAAGAGCCTGGTAGTTACTGAATGGACACCCCATACTGGTGGTACTATTCTCAGTTCTTTCAGTCATGGCTCATTTGCTCATTTGCTCATTATTTCCTCTGTTTAGACTAAGCTGGACCTCTGGTTTAAGGCTGGTTTATTCTGTAGATACTGAAGGAACACCTCTGGTGTTAGTTTCCATTTCATTTCTCTGGGCTCCATTTTACATGAGTTTTAAAGTCATGCTTTTTAATGGTTCAGATTTTAGGATGACTCACTAAATTTTACTTCCTTCTAAACAGGTGTGTTAAAATAGGACTATGATAGTTATCGTAATTAATCACTAGAAACTACTGATCACATAGTGTGTGCCATACACTCTTGTGATGACTATACAAAAGAACTGCCGTAGGGGGAGGTACTGAGAGCAGGAGCAACCGAGTCCAAGCTAGGGTGTCGTTACTATAGTGCTTTGTTCCTGGGCAACACTGCCTCCTTTCTCTGAATGCTCTAATAAGTGGAGCACCTCCCTCGAATGGAGCACAGTAAATATTCAAGACAAACTAGTAATTACTCTTATTTCTGTGAACAATGATGATAATGGGAAAGCCCTTTACAGTTTAGCCCACCCTGCCTAGTTTTACAGGTGACCGGCATATCTTAGTTACATTAGTACCTGAATCCCCTTTATGCGTTCAATCCCATTGATTGTACACTGGGGATATCCAATATTAGTTAGAACCTTTTTGGCCTTAGTGGGGCTTACAGTTAATGGAGGAAAGGGACATTAAATAATCCTATATTAATATATATGTGTATATATATATATATATATACATATATATATATATATATATATAATTCTAAATTATAGTGCTAACTTGTAATTCTAAAAGACTAGCATAGGATATGCCAGGAGAAAACAAGGGGAAGAGATTGATGTAGATGGAAGAGTTCTATAAGAACATGACATGAGCTCTCAAGGCGGTAGGAGGCAGTCAGTATGAAAGGTGATGAAGGCTTCCGTTACCCCAAATGAACACCGGCATATAGAAACATTGATGGCCGCTTTGGCTTTAAACACATGCTTAAATTATCAGCGCTCTGTTATACTAACAGTTTTCAGTAAGCTTTTAAATTCAACAGGATGATCTTGATAAATTATTTGTGAATTTAAATAAATAAGAACAATCATTGCAATCCAAGTTCTATTTACTAAATGTCCTTAAATATTTAATGACATTTATAAGCCCAGTTAATAAAATTTCCTGAAACATCTGATTTGCATTTGCAAACTGGATACAGTCAGTTATGGTTTTAAGTACTTCAAATGATTGGCAGAGCAAATGTATGATTGTAGTAAGTGCTATGTAAATCCTTTAAATAATGCCGGAAAGTTAAGTGTTTAAATGATGTGGGAAGTTATGTTCTCCTAACTGTGCAAATATTTACAAATTAATTAAATTCTCTATTACTTCAAAGAACAAGTTTAAAATTAATTATGCATTTGAAATCAGCAAAACCAGAATACATGGCATCGTCTTAAATTACAAACATTAAAAATACTAACCATGTTAATAATCCAAACTTAACCTGCGAATTGAACTTGCTGATTTCTCTTTCTTTTTCTGTACTGAATCCTTGATATTCTCAGAGCTACACACTCATCTACTGTGGAAGGAAATTAATCTTTTCAGATGTAATGGGGTTTCTAGATCCAAAACTGAAGAGCACAATAGTGCTACCCATTACATAGAAATCTAAGAAGGGTCTAAGGCCATACTATCTCCAACCCATCCAATCTCATCATCAGAACACTAAAACTCAAGGCCTTATATAATACACAGTTTCTACTGAGCTGTAGCTTCATATGCTGGGTTGACTTTTAAATCTGGGCCAGCAGAAGGTATGGCCAAGGTCAAAAGCAACTCTTCTCAAGAGGGCACGGTGATGCTCGCCTGTAATCCTAGACTCAGGGAGGCAGAGGCAGGTGATCGCCGTGAGTTCAAAGCCAGCCTGGTCTACAAAGCAAGTCCAGGATAGGCAGGGCTACACAGAGAAACCCTCTCTCTCTTAACAAAAAAGGGGGGGATGTTCTCACCTCAAAAGATCTGAACTAAAGATGTATCTTCCTACCTCAAAGATCTGGATTAGAAGTGGGTCCTCCCACTTCAGAAGATTTAGTTAAGAACAACAAATCTCTCATGGATGTGCCCAACCATTTTGGAGTTTTATAATGTAAAATTAACTAATATTAATTAATTAACATTAAATTTCAAGGGTGCCCCTCCCTCCTCTCCTCTCAGTCCCTGCTTCTCCCTTCCCCTCTCCATTTTCCCTCAGAAAAAGAGAGCCTCCCTCCCCATTCAGCCTTCCCCAGCACATCAAGTCACATCAGGACTGAGTATATCTTCACTGCCCCCAGGCCAGGCAAGGCAGCCTTGCCAGAAGGAAGTGATCCAAAAGCAGGCAATAGAGTCCATGTTAGAAACAGCCCTCCTCCCCACTCACCAGGCACCCATAATGAAGACCAAGCAGCCCATCAGCTACATGTGTGCAGGGGGCCTAGGTCCAGATCATGCCTGCTCCTTAGCTGATGTCTCAGTCTCTGAAAGCTCCCAAGGACTGGGTTGGTTGTCTATGTTGGTCTTCTTGTGAGGTTCCTGTCCTCTTCAGGTCCTTCTATCTTTCCCCCAATACTTCCGCAGGACTCCCTGAGCTCTGCCCCATGCTTGGCTGCAAGTCCCAACATTTGTCCCAGTCTATCTGTTGCTGGCTGGAGCCTCCCAGACTATAGTTTAATTTGGCTCCTGCCTGCAAGTGCAGCGGAGTATCATTATTAGCGTCAGGGGCTGGCTCTCTACTGTGGGGTAGGTCTCAGGTTGTGCCAATTACATGTTGGACTTTCCTTCAACCTTTGTTCCTTCGAAGGAGGGGAACAACAACCCACCAACAAAACCTGTGATCCAAAAATTACCCTGCCTACTACATTTTTGGGTTTTAGTTAATTCCAGATGTAGTCAAGTTGACAACAAACAATAGAACAGCCATCACAACAAATCTAGTTGCATAGTGTTTTCATTTGTAAATTCATCACAGTAAAATAGTGAATTCTATTAAAAATCCCAAGTAGTTCTCAAAACAAACAAGAGATTGGAGAAAGCAAACAGAGCTTCAGTATGCTGCATTAATTCTCTCCCGACTGCGGATGTACCTTCCCGTCTCTCTAGACTGTGACTAGTAACCTCTAGTCCCTGCTGCCCTGATTTCCTTGAGACAGTGGACTATAACCTGGAATTTTGAGCCAAAATAGACTTTTTCTTGATTTTGTCAAGGTGTTTTAGCTCAGCAACAGGAAATGAAACTAAGACATGGCCTTACCTCATTTTTTTTTAAGCCTTACTAACTTTTAGCATTTGGTTTAAATGAAGTTCTGAAACTCCCAATCTCACTTTGCTCCAGAACTGCTTCATTACTCAGAAAAGACGAAGTCCCCAAAATACCCTGACTCTGTCGCAAACTTCTACCTTGCTCTTTGGTAACTACGTTGAAGTTATTTCCATATGGGTGAATTTTTAATTCATATTTAAAGGCAATGAATAATTTCACTCCTTACTTACCCCATGTAAGATACTAAAATGAACACCAACATCATAGCAGGTGGATATTACCTGAAAACTCAACTTATACGAACTTCTATAATTCTGAGTATCATTTTACAGTTTCAACTTATTTTAGTGAACTCTCATCACCATTTTAACATGCAAATTTTATAAGCTAGCCAGTGGTGACCTCTCCACGTTAGTTCCCTGTGTCTTTGATATTCAGCCTCATTTCTTCAGAAGGGATTTCTTCTCACAGCGATCTTGAAGCTTCTCCATCACCGTGGCATTCATTTGAAAGCCCCACCTGACGTTCGCTGCCACTCTCCCCACAGCGCCATCCTGAGTGGCAGCCAATCTCAAATCCACTGCCATCATCTCATGTTTTCTGAGGCTCATCTTCTCTACTGTTTATTTTTTCAGTTTGATGACATGAGTGGTTTAGATAGCTGACCATCCAGATTTTGAGTCAGCTTCTCACCACCAGGTGTTGGGGGAGTCCATATACTAAGAGATTCCATCCTGTTACCCTGAGGGCCTTCAGTTAGACACTTCTGGCTCATCCACGGTCATTCGGTCCACATTCAGTGTTGCCTTCTTCTCGACACTCTGCACAAAGCAGTATTTTTGGTAATACTCCATCCCATGTAAAGGCTTTTTGTAATGTCTTGCTTTGCTGAAGTAAAAAAATTTCTCAACCTTTCTGTCTTCTTCATTTGACCATCCTTTTCCCTAGTCTGTGTACTGTGTTTACTGCTTAAGCATGGCCGTATCAGACTACATGTTATCTTCTAATATAATTTAATTATGTTTATTGTGTGTAGTTCTGATAAGTCCAGGCACCCAATGACACACTGAATGCAGAAAAAACAGAGGGACTTGAAGGTAGAAGGGGCCTTGCTGATATAAGATAGGGAAAAAAAAAAACAAAACAAAACAAAAAAAAAAAAACAAACCTCCCAATGTGGTTTAATGAGTAAGGGGAGACTGTGGTGAGAGAGAAGGCAAAAGGGAGAAGAGAGGGTATTTGGGTCAGGGCCACGGGATAGCTGTCTGTAGGCTCTGTTAAGCCCTAACCATATAGGGGAGGAGGATGTCCTAGGAGGATTAGATAAGTCAGAATGAATTTCACTTTGGAAAGGGATAACCTAAGACTTCTAAAATCACTCAAACAGGAACTTCCCAAGGGGAAGGGAAGATATGGACATGGCTATATTTAAGTTTATTTGCAGAACTAGGCATTTGTTAAAGATGACAACTTTTAACTTTGTATCTTTCATAGAATTTTACAAGATGTTAAATCATACAAAATTATATATAAGTACTGTGTGGGCCAGAAGGGTGACATGAGATAGGGTAGAATGAACTATGTATTGGCTTGAAATGTGGAAAAAAAAAAAGTATTGAACTTGTTAAATTGGCAACAGAACAGAACATTGTTATTTATCTGAATTTAAGCTGCAGCTTTCTAAACTAAATTCTAAAGTAAAAACTTTAAAATGAATGAATTAGACTAGGGTTTTTGTTTTTTTTTTGTTTTTTTTTTTTGCCTGAAAAAAAATTAATGTAAAGTTAAAACTGTGTTCTTTGTTACTCTTCCAGATGGTACCATAAGAACATTACTAGAAACCAAACAGAACGCCTGTTGAAGCAAGAGGTAAATCAGTGTGTCAAGAACAAGCCCGCGGATATTCCTAGTAACCCTGAGAAGTTAGTATAGAGATTGTAGCCACTCAAAAAAAGGTGTATTCACAGTCTTCCAATTTTCAAATACCGCCACAACCTCATTCCCTTCACACATTTTTCTAAGCCAAAACTCAGACATATTTGCATAAGATCACCTTTTCCTTGACTGCCTTCGTGATTTCAGAAACTTGTTTCTCTTGAAATGATTTCAACTCCAGACTCTCTCATTCAACACGGATCCTCTCCGTGGAGTCTGTACGTGAGTTGCCCGTGAAGAGTGGCTCCCAACCTCCCTAATGCGGCGACCTCATGTTGTGGTGACTCCCAGTCATAGAATTCCTATTTGGTGTTACTTCATAACTGTAATTTTGCGACTGTTACAAATTGTAAAGCAATGCAATTGAAAAATCTGTGTTTTCTGATAGTCTTAGGCCACCCCTGTGAAAGTTGTTTAGACCCCAGGGGGGTTGTGACCCAGAGGCTGAGAACCACTGCGCTATGGCCATGTACAGCTGAGGCTCTAACCTTTTGACCTCTGCTTACACTCATGGAAAACACAAATACAGAGAATTGTGGTGCGAACGAAGGGGGAGAGTTACTAGTTAGAGTAGTAAATTCAGATCAAAACTGCTCATTTAGGTCAAACCAAGACAAAACAAGCAGAGTTTAAGTTTCCAACTGTCAGTGCCTGGTACCTGTGGGGAAATGAAGAGTCAAACCCAGAACTTGGACAGGAAGTGTGTCACTCTGCGCTGGCCTCGGATGTTGAGTGACTCTAGAAATGTGAAAGAGAATCAGTTCTGTATTTAAAAAAAAAAAAAATCCATGTCAGCAATGGCCCAGGATGCTGAGAAGACCACTTTAAAATAGGGGGACCTGTGGAGGATGAGGAGCGAAGGGTTGGTCTCTGTGGGTGTGGGTGGAGCCGGGACAGGCCGGGCTCTGCCTGCTAGAGAAAGCTTGTGAAATCCATGCCTCCACCCTGGGAAGTTAAGGGAAGGAAAGCTGGGAGCAGCTGCACAATAAGCAAGATGACATGGGTCACGTGATCCAAACCACAGGACTTGTATGTCCAGCACACGAGTTTCTATACCTGGGAGTCTCATCTTGCTCAAGACACGAGAGCAAGGAATTATGGGACAGCCCACACGCCTGCCACAGAATTGCAACATTAAAAAGTTGGTCCTGATTTTTTAAAAAGTTTTTTTCCCCCCTTGTTTGAGATAGAGCCTCATGTAGCCCAGGCTGCCCTCAAACTTACAACATAATTGAGAATATGATGTGATGATTTATATGATGTGAGAATATCAAGTGACGATTTTCACCACTTGGTGTGAAAATTGTATACATTGACAGTCACTAATTTTTGAGACAAAGTCTTACTGTGTAGCTGAGGTTGGACTCAAACTTGAGGCAATCCTCCTGCCTTAGCCTCCCAGGTGTGGGGATAATAGGTATGAGCCACTATCCCAAACTTTGGATTTTAAAACATTATGTTTTAAAAATTCATTCACATGTGTACAAAACAGAACCACCATATTATTTAATATTTCACTATGTGCACATATAAAATGTATCTTATGCTCATAAACAGTTGAACTGTTTCTAGCATAGCAGTGATATGCTTCCTTATAAAAATCATCTTGCACGCACAGGCATACCCTGAATGTTCAGATTTAACATTGAATGTGTTTTTCAAGCCTTGATTCAGAATAGTTGTGGTTGTTTGAGTGAGAACAATCCTCACAGGTACATACATTTGAATGCTTGGTCCCAGTCAGTAGAACTGTTTGGGAAGGATCAGGAGGTGTGGCCTGACCCCTACTCCCACCCCCAGGATGGCCATAGACTCCAGCCCTCTGGAATTATGCATCTCAAATTACATTTTCTTTTATAAGTTGCTTTGTTCATGGTGTTCTGTCATGGATATAGAAAGGTAGGATACTCATTTACAGCTTAATTTATTCTTTAAGAATTTCATACAAGTATACAATGCATTCTGATCATATTCACCTCCCCCTTCCTCCAACTCCTTCTATCTCTCCTCACATCTTCCTCCCAACTTTATATCCTGAAAAAGGAAACTGCCAAGTATCATTGTCTGTCCACGCACAGGAGTGAAGTCATCCACAGGAGCCCTGTCAACCTACCAGGGGCCATATCCCTAATGAGAACTGACTCTCCTTCCACTACCTGCCATCAACCGTCAATAGCCATTCAGCTAGAGGTGGGAGCTGTGTGTCGCTCTTCCGTCTGTGCTGAAGTGTTGACTGGACTGATAGAGCACTGGCTTCTGTAGGCAACCACAGCTGCTGGGAGTCCATGAATGCGGAAGTCCTGCTAAGTCCAGAAGACACTGTTTTGTACCTCTCCTCCTTTACCACTGGCGCTTGCAATTTTTCTGTCCGTTATGTGCCATGCTCTAACTCTTGGAGGAAGGTGGATATGATATAGCTGTCTCACTTATACCCGAGGAGTCCACTAATCCATGATTTCTGCACTTTGATCAGTTGTGAGTCTCTCTGATAAGGACTGAGAGCTGCACTCATCTATGGGTGTAGAGATATGCGTTTAGAAGGCAGGTTGAGACTAAGTTCATTTGTTAAAATAGCAGTAGTGTGTCCATTGCTAGGATTTATGAGCTCCCAACCACAGAGTCTTGGCTAGATTTACATTACCAGGCGTAAGTTTCCTCTTGAGCAAAGGGCCTGAAACCCAATCTCTTTCCCACTTCGTATCACCTTGACAAAATCCAACATCTTTTTTTTTTTTTTTGACAAGAACCCTGGGAGTAAAGATGAAGGGAACAAATACCTCAACATTATAAAACCTATGGCCACCATCATGTTAAATAGAGAAAAACTCAAAACATCTCCACTAAGATCAGGAACAATACAAGGGGTGTGTGTGTGTGGGGGGGTGTATATTACCTTTGTGTGCATGTGTGTGGGCAGAGGTCAGAGGTTGATCTCTGGGATCCTTTTCGCTTGCTCTTTGCATTACATATTAAGGTAGGGTCCCTCACTTGAACCTCTAGTTTGCTGACTTGTCTAATCAAGCTAGCCAGATTGTTTTAGGAATTCCCTGCTTCCGCCTCCCAAGCGATGGGATTACAGGTAAGCTGACACATGTGACCAGCATTTATGTGGGTGCTGGGGATTTGAACTCTGATCCTCATGCTTATGCAGTAAGCACTTTACCCACCGAGCCATCTCCTCAGCCCCTTAGATATAAACTCTTCCACACACATCCTTTTCCTTCCTACTGGGACTTCCCACATCAGTACACAGGAGTGTGTTTCATTTGCCTTATAATCTGCATATCATTCTCTAGATCAGATATATCACAATTTGTAAATCAAATGGTTCATTATGAAAAGTAAGATGTACTCTCTTTTGCTATGAAGACAATGCCGCCTTCAATACTCTCCCCACACACATCTTTTTCCATTTATATGAATCTTTTTGTAGGGAAAAAAATCTACAAAGTGGAAATCCAGGGCCACAGGGAATGTGCATTTCTGACTTCCATAGACCTCAATGTGCCCTCTGCAGGAATGGTGAGGAGTCTCACCAGTCTAGACACCCACTGGAAATACGAGAGCATCTGTTTCTCACAGCCTTTCCAGGCAGCATTTCATGAGAAACATCTGGGTCCTTCCTCTGATGCCTCATCTTACTGTGAATGTAATCTGCATTCTCTTAGCCTAGGGATGTTAAACATTTTTCATACATTACATTTTATGTGTTTGATTTTCTTTGTTGTAACTGTCTGTTCATATTCTCTGCATGGTTTTCTACTAGGTTTGTGATGCACTTCTCCGAATCTGTAGAGTCTATATAGCTGTAACGAAGGAAACCAATCCTTTGTGGCATGTGGAAATGTTTCCCCTAGGTTTTCAATTGTCCAGCGGTTTTTCTGGCATGAATTAGGTATCTGAGTCTCACATGGTTGAATTTATCAGATTTTTTTTTTTTTTTTTTTTTTTTTGTAAAGGTTGGTAGACTGTATCAAGGTAGAATTGTCCTTTCCACTCTAAGGTTACAAGAAAAACTCTCCGTGTGTTTCTTGATGAGGCTTGTTGTCTTCTTTTGTGAGTTTTCACCTTTGGTTCATTCCGAAGGCTTCCTGATGCAACTCGTGAAGAGTAGATTACTTATTTCTTAGACATTTGCCAAGTATCTGCCTATTTTGCACTCAGTTGAGTTGACACGTTTATAACGATAGAAATGTTTATTTTGCATTACATCTTTGTTTACTATTTGTCTTCATTGGCCATCCTGTCTGTTCATTAACTATTTTAAACACAAAGGCTTTCTCTGTGTGGCTAGCTTTCCTCACGCTCAGGATCACCACGAGACATTGAAAACAAACCTTCTTGTGGTTGTGCTGAATAGAGAGCTTACATTAGGGAAAAGCATACAGGCACTGTAAGTCAATGGGCTGTGCTACATGTGCGCTTTGATGCTACTGGATCAATTTATCGACACTTTCTTTGATACGTGTGAGGAAACGAGGCCACTCGGTGGCTCTTCTTTTGTGTGTCCTGGTCTGGCTTGGTGTTGCTGGTGTCAAGGTGACCTTACACACACATGTTTTGAAGTTTATCTTTCGTCCTTTTGTTCTGAAGCAGTTCAACCTCTACTATTTTTTCCTTTCAGGTTTTGTATTTCCTAGTATGTGACTACGGTGCTTTCTAATGCTGTGTTTTAAGAATCATACCTATTGTACTACTCCATAGAGCCATCAAGAGTTTTAGCTATATTGGATTCAATTTTTATAAAGTGTTTTGTTAATTAAATTTCATTCAAGTTTTAAAATTTGTTACACACAGGCAAATGAAGTCTTATTTTTTTCCAGATCATTATTTGTCTTGTGATATAAATTTTGATAATTTTCACAACTAGTTATTGACTAGGTTAATTGGTTTATCTGCTATTTTCCTAGAACAATGAGACTTTGAACTGGTTGTATCATATTTTTATCTTTATAATTTATTATATTCTAATTTGTTATTTATTAATTTTTTATGACAACCTGATATAAACTAAGGCCATCTGAGAGGAGGGAATCTCAATTAAGAAAACACCTCCATAAGATCTGGCTATAGGCAAGCCCGTAGAACATTTCCTTAATTAGTGGTTGATGGGGGAAAAGGCCTACCTCACTGTGGGTGGTGCCATCCCTGGGCTGGTGCCCCTGAGTTCTCTAAGAAAGCAGGCTGAGCAAGGCATGAGGAGCAAGCCAGTAAGCAGCACCCCTCCATGGTCTCTGCATCAGCTCCTGCCTCCAGGTCCCACTATTTGGATTTCTGCCTTGGCTTCTTCTCTCAAGGGACCATCATGGATAAAACCTTTCCTTCCCGGGCCACTGTTCTTCATGGTGTCCTTTCTCATTTATATCTTGTGTTGCCTTCTGATGTACAGTGCAACCCTTGTGACTCATAGTAATTCAGTAAAGGCTGGACGTTGCCGTTTGCAACGCCCATGAGAGAGTTCAATCGGGGACTGAGCCTAGTGCCTTTGTGCAGGTGTGGGAGGTGACTGTGTTAGTATCTTCAGTGAATTGTGAGGGGCTGGCCTTGCACAGCCTGGTGCTGCAGCACTGAGATACCCTGCATGCCAGAGATTTACATTGTGATTTACAACCGTAGAAAAATTACAGTTATGAAGTAGCAATGAAATAATTTTATGGCTGGGGTCCCCACAACATGAGGAACTGTATTAAAGGGTCGCAGCGTTAGGATGGCTGAGAACCACTGCTCTATGGGTTTGGTAAGAGAGATCCTGCAGCTGCTCTGCCTTCAGGAACATAAATAAGCGGAGCCAATAAAGCAGAGGAGCTGTGTAAAACAGTCTAGCTGTCAAGATGACTGGAAGGCAATTTACAGCTTTCCTGGCATTTCTTCAAAGAATGTCCACAGGGACCTAGTTCTTAACTGAGTACTGAAAGTGTTACCATCTCCCCCACTGCCATTCCTGTTTTCATCTCTCCCACATCCTACAACAGTTTGCATCTCCCAACAGGATCCGCCACATGTATTCTTTCTCATGAACTCTGACCTCTTGCCCTACTCTCTGCCTTTCCAGAAATATCTCTCCGTGCATCCTTCACCCACTTCTAGCATACAGTCCTGTCAATCTGTCTCAGAGGTTTTTCTATCAATCAATTCTATAAAGCAATTTTCATCTGCTATCCAAACCAACAACCAAAAAAGCCACTAAATGCTGGGCAAAAGGTTGTCCAAACCAGGACTTTTCCCGGAAAAATCAAGGATAATGTTTTAAAACACTCACACATTATGAATTTCTTATCTCACTTACCTTTTCCCAGGCACATGATTTCTAAATCTGTAAAGAGATAAGCAATCTCATTCTCTAATAGTAAGAATATAGAAGTCAGGTTTTTAAGAAAAATTAAGTTACTTATAGTAAATCTATCTAGGTTTGGTTTTCATCAGTAAGATCCATTTGTTTTTTTAAAGAAGGCATATACTTGTATAATGGATAAATTTTATTTTGCAGGCTAAAGAAGGTGCGTTTATTGTGAGAGATTCAAGACATTTGGGGTCCTACACAATTTCTTTGTTTACAAGAGCTGGAAGGTAAGCATTTGTGGATTTTGATTACTTGAGAACCAATCCTTGGGACAATTTTGCTCTGTGGGTATACCATCACATGGGGACTCAGAAAAAGGGTTCACCCTAAGGAGACTGCTGGCCTAGAAACTGGGACAACCATCCAGTTCCCGTGTATCTGATTAGTTGTGGCTGACACTGTTGGCACATCCCTCAGACACTCTCTCCTGTGGGGTTGGCCTACACAGAGGGCTCCTGAGCTCCACAAGCTTCCTATGCCATTAGGCCTGGGATGTTCTGTGACGAACTTGTGATGAGGCTGGAGGTGCCTGAGAGGCAGCATCTCAGGAGCATCTTCCCTCCATGAGGGAAGGAGCTGAGGAGTGAATACCTCAGCGCATCTGCAACTTAGTAATGAAGCAGTAGTTTCCCAAAGCAATCACCTGCTCAGCTATGTTCCCTCTATCGACTTTGCCTTCCTCATCTCAGCTTTCCAGTTCCTCACAATGGAGTTTCTCATGTTGTTTAGTCAATATGTAACATTCAATAAATGCTTCACAATGAACATCACTTTATTGGGAACGGGGCTTGTCTCCTAAAGTTATGTTGACAACTGAGGGATTTTCCTGGATGATCAGGTGAGAGCCCATCCGTTCAGCTCATCACTGGGTAGTGTTACCAAGAAGAGAACTTGATCACTGGAGTCACGCTGCTTAAGACGCTGACTTAGTTTTAAAGCAGTCTCTTGCTTCTCCAATAACTGACATTTTATTGATTACAGACGTACACAGTCTCCAATAAAACATTATCAGATTAAAAGGAATGACTCAGGGCAGTGGTACGTCACCGAAAGACACCTATTTCCGTCAGTTCCCGAGTTGATCCAGTATCACCAGTACAATGCAGCTGGTAAGTGAGGAGTGAGGCCTGGTGGGAAGGGCTGGGAACAGGGCAGGCATGTGCACGCACAGTCTCAGAGAGTCCACAGCAGCAAACCTCCCTGGACATCCTGCCTAAAGCCTGAAATACAATCTTGCTTTCTTGGGCAATGGCTGGTCTCATTGGTGTTTTTATTTTTATTTTATTTGTTTTATTTTTTTGCTAGACTTGGGTTGCAGTTTTTGATTTCTACCAGATTAGAAAGATGGTAGATGACAGGGGAGCCAAGGAAATTTAGTTATGCATTTGTTCTGGACGTTTATATAGGGCTAAATGAAACACAGCTTCAAATATCTAAACGACAAGGCCGCCTTTCCTTCGCTCCCACAAATCTGCTCTCTTGTTTAGATAATTACAACAAGACATTATCTTTAACCCTCTCATCCTCCGTTCTTTCTTGCTTTGAGAAGAATACAAAGCTAAACAGAACCAAGGCTTTTGCTATTACACTTTGACCTAAATATTTCAGAATATTAAACCTTCTCTTTTTCTGTTGTTTTCCTTTCCCATCCACCTTTTCTTGTGAGCACACACTGCTTCATCTCCCACTCCTGTAGAATATGGGCTCCACCAGCACCTCGTTCTCCGCTGTCTCCTCACATCAAGGTGATGCAAACAGACATTCAATCGGTAGCAGTTGAGGAAATGAACAATGGATGTTTCATGTTAAATTGGAATTGGTTGTCTAGAATTTTTCATGCTGACCTAATCACATGGAGTCTTACTCATTTTACTATGTTACTTTGAAACAAAACAAAATAGAACAAAAACAAACCAGAACAACGACAAAAATCCCACAAAAACCTATTTCCAAAGGGTGTTCAGTTTAATGGTTAAGTGAATTTTTGTAATGCTTTTGGAAACAATTTTATCAAAGTAGCCCATTTTCATAAGAGGAAAATGTGAGAGAATTCATACAAACTTATGTTCAAGAAAATATAACATATTTTATGATAGCAGAATCTCAGACGTATTTTAGGGTCTATATATGGTCATCAGTATGTGTAAACTATATGCTTGGTATGAAAAACTTACAATAAAACATTTCTATTTTGTACAATGTATATAACACATAATGCTTCTAAATATCAAAACAAATAATTTTGCCAAATTTTACACCAAAGTGATAACAATTCCTCTGTGCACGCTGAGATTTTTGTGAGAGAACTTTTTGTTAACTGTGTGTACAGCGAGTCTATGTCATGAAAATGTTATTAAATGCAAAGTAGAAAACTACAACCCACAGAATTGTTACACCTAATTATTTAAAGATAAGTGCTATCTTCTAGTACAGTTTGTTCTTCCTTTCGTAACCAGGTTTGATATGCTCGTTTTTATCTCTCCTTAGGGCTCGTGTCCCGTCTCCGCTATCCAGTTGGACTCCTGGGCAACTGTCTCCCCGCCACAGCTGGTTTTAGCTATGGTAAAGTACACACATGTGCCGAGGGGAGACTTCCATCCATCCAGGAACCGCCCCGCAGATTCTTTAAACTCTCAGTTCATTTCAAATGTCTACCTACATATGTTTCTTTTAAAAATTTAAATCTCTTGCTGGAGATGTTTAAATAATCCATCTCCTAGGGCAACTTGAACTCGGTAGCAATGTTTCAGTTTTACTTGGCATTTCACGACACCTTATGAGGACCTGTCATCTTTCCCAATTTGATAAATATTACTATGGATGCTGAGGCTGTTGTGTTCTGGGTATGAGGGTTGCTGGGAAGTGGTTGCTTTCCGTGAGAACCCATCAAAAAGAGCTGTTGAATGGCTCCACTTCATGCCTGTTCAAACAGACTTGGTGTGTCCTCAGATTCAAATCACTTTCTAGCAAGTGTGGTATTTACAATCTGCGAGAATAAATGTGAACCAGGGGATCTTGTTTTCTGCCTTTTTTGAAAAATTTGTTTCTTTGAATCCCTCTCATTAGTTCAGATTATACTAAAAAAAAAAAAAAAACCAGTGAAAATTATATTGTATAAAAATGACTATGATTCAGGGTTGAAGATTAAACAAGTTAGAAGGGGGACCTAGTGTGTTAGGGGTACCTCTGTCATTCTTATATGTAAGAACTTACATAATTAGCAATTTGGTTGAATATTATGCTCTTTAATTCCTTAGAAAAAGTTCAACTTTTTTGAACAGAATACATAAGCCACAGCTATCACATGATATTATATATATGTATGTATGTATATCATATTACCAAGTTTTTAGGTAATAGAATGAGAAACTACACACTCTTGTGTCTGGCCACTTCCTGTTCTCGCCACATCTTTGAATTTCATCTATAGTGCTGGGTGTGGTTGACTCACTTCCACTGTGACATAGTGCTACACTGTCTGGATTACTACCTTCTTTAACAGCCGTGGGTTGTTATCTCTACAAACACTATTGTTATGAAAGTTCTTGCTTGTGTTTAGATGACAAATATATGTTTATGCACAACTGTGTGTTTAGTTTCGAGTAATTTTGTTAGGTCATAGGCTATACACAATTTGAGGTTTGCTAGGCAGAATTAACTTTCCAGAGAGTTTGTAACAAAGTTCCAAGTCTATCAACAATGTATAAGAATGCCAGCTCCACTCTTTCACCATATAATATACTATATATTATATATAATTGTATCTATTAGATTCACCTAATATATAATATAATTACATAATATATTTAACATATAATTATTATATATAAATTTTATAGGCAAGGACTTTGGAGACTGGAGGATATGGTGTTTACTATATATTATGTACTATAGATTATATTCATCCTGCATATATAGTATGTATTACACACACACACACACACACATACACACACAGAGGGTTTCTCTGTGTAACAGCCCTGGCTGTCCTAGAAATAGCTCTGCGGACCAGACTGGCCTTGAACTCACAGAGATCCTCCTGCCTTTACTTCCTGAGTGTTAGGACTAAATGTATGTACCACCACTGCCTAACCCAATATGTAGTATTTCTTTTAAATACTTCAGCCAATCTGGTAAGTGTATATGGTATTGCATTATGGTTTAATTTTGATCCCTCACTGATAATTATTTTGGCTACCTTTTAGTAAGTATAGTGGTCATTTGGATATTCTTTTTATGATCAAATACTCATCATTTTCACCCTTAAAAATTGGATTCTATGCTTTTTCTGATTGGTTTATGCTTAATGCTTTCTTTTAAATATTTGTCTTTATTTTACATGCATGAATGTTTTGTCTACATGTATATAAGTGCACTTCATGTGTGCTTGGTACCTGTGGAAGAGGGAGGGAGCTGGATCCCCTTGAACTGGAGCAAAGAATGGGTTTGAGCCGGCATGTGGGTGCTAGAAATTGAAATCTGGTCTTTGAGAGCAGCGAGTGCTTTGAACCACTGAGTCATCTCTCCAGATGAGCAGACAAAATTATGAGATGCAATTTATTAATATTTTCCTCTGTGATCATATCTTATCAACTAATGCTGCCGTCAAGGTAGTAACTCCAGTTTTCTCCTGTCACTTTTACAATGGCGGTCCGCTACTGGGTTGGGAACTTCCTCCCACCACTGGTACTAGAGATGTATAACCGTTAATAATTCTGCTGAGTGCACTGTCCTGAAGTTCCAGCAGATGGTGGTGTTGCTGTAGAAAAACTAGGTGCTAAAAAGTTAGGCTTCGATAGTTTCAAGGGTATTTTTTTTTTCTTCCTGATTTGCTTATGAGAAATGAGAAAGATACAGCAATATGAATTTTACCTCACACACCCATTTAGATATATGTTGGTTAGCAGTCTGGCAATGGACATGCGTATTAGGTGATGAGACCCCTCCCTAAGGAGAGGCTACCAGAGGCAGGAAGGCTCTGTAACAGTGGAATGAGAACAGTGGGGGGAGGGGGGTGGGACACTGAAACAGGAAGAGGAAGTATCACCGACTTTAGCACTATAGCAAAACCAGGCTGCAAACATCCTGTTTTAGGTCCCATGTCGAGTTTTGTTTAGAAAAGTATATGGATACATTTGCTATAATGCTTCCACAGTCACAATTTGTTATATATATTCCTGTCTTCAAGCAGTTGACTCTTTTTAAGAGTTGGTGTCTTGAATTACACATTAAGGTCCCGATGAGAATATTAAAAACAGTTACAGACCCTCACCTGTATAGTTTTAACATCTACATAAAATAAGGAGATAGGACTAGATAATTCCTAAATCTTTTCTCAAAAAAAAAAAAAATTGCTCTTTTTCTTTTCTTTTCTTTTCTTTTTTTTAACGTGAGTAATTTGCCTTTCTAGAAAAGTGGGAGATAGATCCTTCTGAATTGACTTTTGTCAAGGAGATTGGAAGCGGCCAGTTTGGGGTTGTCCACTTAGGAGAGTGGAGAGCACATATCCGGGTTGCCGTCAAGGCCATCAATGAAGGTTCCATGTCTGAAGAAGATTTCATTGAGGAGGCCAAGGTGATGATGTGAGTATGGGCCCTTCCATTCCATAAATGGGGCCCAGCACCTCTGAGTCTTAGATAGAACCTGGACTTTGGAATCAGACACTCCTGCACCTATGTCACAACCAAGCTGGTTGTGTGACCACACAAATTACTTAACCTCTGTGTGAACAGGCATGAACTATGTCACCTTCCAGTCTCCAAAGTCCTGGCCTATAAAATTGGGAATAACAATACTTACAGCATTGGATCGAGGTGTGAATTAATGAGATGATCACTGGGAAAGACAAGGAAAGTATTATTTTCAGCTCAGCGATAGGTGTTACCTAGTTTACCGGTGTTTTGTTTTGCAAATGTATTAGTTGTGGTTTTATTAGTTGTGGTTTCCTACAACAGCCTGACCTTGTCTCAGGAAGGTTCAAATCACTGTTGCATAAACATTTGTTAAATGTTTATTTAGAAGAACAGCAATGTATCAGAGTAGGAAAAACCCAGGTGTCCTCACTTCAACTGTTCTGTTGTCCAGCACACACAGTTCTGTCCCAAATGTGCAGCCTCCAAAGGGAAAGAAGAAGAAGAGAGACTAGGTAACAATTGGAGTGATTAGTGACAGCCATTCTCCATGGAAGACAGCGCAATTATGACTTTGGGAGTTTTCAAGCGCATACCCCAAACTATCCTATCAAAATATTCTGTCGGTTTACAAGAGGATGAATCTGGGTGGAGTCAAGAGAAACACAATTTTCCAGGGAAATCAGCTTCCCAGTGACTTTGCTGCTGTTGTCACCGCGTACCTGAGACACCTGTTTGCTGACCTATACTCTCTGATCAGGGAGTTCTATATCTTAAGGACAAATGGGTCGTAGTGTGCGCTGGATTAAAGTGACACAGCGTGGAAAGAATAAATGGGAGACGGGTAACTCAGAGTTAAAAACAGGTCAGAATCTTTTATGAACTCGAGGAGTTGAGAGGCTCCTTGAGAGATATGATCCTGGTTAGGAATCCGGGAGTTAGACTTTCTGAGGATGTTCTAGGTAATATTTTCTTGCAACTGCAACACTCCCTCCTGCACATAAGACTCGGGAAGTTGATAAAACCTACATATGACTCAGGAGTCCAGGGGTGTGTAAGAGTCATAAGTCCCTCCAACAGGGACAAAGACAGTAACTGCTAAGAAGAGAAGTTTCTCTAGCGGAGTTGACTGAAAGTCGTGCAGGGAGCTCCCGGGGAGTGAGTGTGTTGCCTATTAGAACACCAAAGATGACTAAGTAGTCAGGTAAATGCTTGGGGTAGAGTTCAGAAGAAAGGTCAAGGTGGAGGGCATGAATTAGAGAACCATGAAACTTGATTCTGTCACGGAAGGAAGAAGAAGTGATAGAAAAGGATAACAGGAGAAAGCCAAAAGGTTTTGACAATACTTAAAAAAAAACCCAAAAACCCAAACTCAGATATTTCTACCAATTGTTCCACAGTGAATCATGACACTTCTCCAGCAGGGGAATGATATACATGTAGAGAAACTAATATCCCAGGAAGCAGGAACATACACTTCTACTCACATGGTTCTCCGTAAGAAATTTCTCTTCCATCCGTTCAACTGAACCCCATAGGAAGGTTTATTTACCCGCTTTTGCCTTATTTCCAGTAGATATTTGTCTTATTTCAGATATATTTTGGCAGTCGCTCTCATAAACAAATGCCTGGCAGTATTTCGGTTTTCAAATACTTCCCAGAAGTTATAGCCTCAGGTTTCTTATGCATGGAAATGTTTCATTCTGTGATTTGCTTTCCTGACATTATTCTGCACACATGCAAACTGCCGTCCTTAGTTGGAAGCATGCTTATAACTTGAAAGATAAATCAGGCAAAGTATGTCTAACATATACACATATCATTACACACACACACACACACACACACACACACACACACACAATTTACTGTTATGGTCAAGAAGATTATTTCTAAGGAACTTGTGACAGTATTTCTGACCAACAGAATTGTTTATGATACAGCTTTTAGAATTATGAACATTAATTTTAATTAATTATTTATTTTCATGGTGGCCTACAAGGCATTAAGACATTGAATGATATATCCATAGTGGGGTGGAAGAACCCAATAAATGTTCAAAGCTTGATTGCTTTAAAAAAAAAATGTATATATTGGAGCCAGAGAGCTGCTCAGCTCTTATGGGTATGAGCTGCTTTTGCAGAGTTCTCAGGTTGAATCCCAGTACCTACGTGGTACTCAACTATTTGTAACTCCAGGTCCACAGATCCAAAGCCCCCTCTGGCCTCTGTAGGGGCTGCACACACAAGACGCATAGACCTACGTGCAGACAAAACACCTATACATATAAAATAAAACTAAAATTAAAAAAAAGTGAGTACATGTTAGAGGAAACTTAATCTCTGTGCGGTTACCAAATACACAACATGGTTTCATGATGGCTGATCATTTTTCAGTCTCCAGCTTCATCCATAAATTTACTTTGAAATGGCTTTACTCGTTAGAATTCCATTTTCCTCCTCACGAACATCATCTTCCTTCCCTGCTGCCTGCCTGGAATTTTCTGTGGAAAGACTGTGGTTAGGACGACTGGGATTCAAAGAGCAGGAACTCTTGAGTCCTGGGCTGGGAAAATCAATAATGAGAACACTAAAGCTGACAGAACAGGAAGAAGAGAAAGAAACTGCCGCCAGTCAGCAATATTCTCTATCAGTAACGTTGGAAGTACGTTCAAACTTCTGAGCCCACGGTTTTAGTGCATAAAGAAGAAAGAAAATGCAGTGCGTTCCTGGTGCCTGGAATGATGCTTATCTCAGATAGGACAAGGATATGTTACTGTTTTAAAATGCAAGAACAATCCAGTTCTCACCGGTGTGTTTTCCCTCGACAGGAAACTGTCACATTCGAGGCTCGTTCAGCTGTACGGGGTGTGTATACAGCAGAAGCCCCTCTTCATAGTGACGGAGTTCATGGAGCATGGCTGCCTGCTTACCTATCTCAGGGAGAGAAAAGGCAAGCTCCGGAAGGCCTTCCTGCTGAGCGTGTGCCAGGATGTGTGTGAGGGCATGGCATACCTGGAGAGGAACTGCTATATTCACAGAGATCTGGTGAGTCGGAGGCAAACAGCCTTACTTCATGTACCTGGATCCAGAAGGGCACCGGGATTGATTCTGATAGTTGGAAGAATGTGCCTTTGGTTTAATTTTAGAACATTTTTTTTTTAACTCGTGCATTTTATTGTGAAAGGCTAATTAATTTTCATATTTACTTTGCAGTGCTGGGGGTTAAAGCCAAGGCCTCGCGCATGACAAGCCTTTGCTCTATCACCGACTTCCATCTACCAACCCTGTAACTTTATTTTTAATTGCCCTTTAACGCTGTAACCAAGTTGGAAGTTACCCCAAAATGTCTCTCACTAGCTAGCTACCTAATGTACCAATTAACTACAACGATCTTTCCTCTTTTCTTTTCCTCATTCCCTTATTTCTTTTCCTTGTTTTTCTTTCCTTTCACCCTTCTTTCTTTCAAGGAATGTCAAACTCCAGTAGTCACTGTAAGTGGTCCAGCTCTGCCCAGGGGGGAGGGGTACCCTGGCAGTCCAGAGCCAAGGACTACCTCAAAGTCACACCACACTGCAAACCTCACCCAAGAGATGTGTTGGGAAAGACACAAGAGGGCAGCTGTCTCTAGGGGAGAGAAACAGCAGAGACAAGAGAAGGCAGGCTTACTAGACTGGAAAGTGTCCTTTTCCAGGTGCCTCAGTTGATCTAAACTTCTGCCAGGCGGCTCAGCTGGTCTGGTCTCAGTCTTCTTTCCAGATTTCCTCCTGAGAGTCTTCTTTCTTTGCAGTTCAGCTTCTGTTGAGAGAGACTGCCAGCTTTAATTGCCTACTCTGGCTGGGAGAGGCCTAGTGAAACTGATCAGCTTCAGGGACTTCCTGAAGCTATTTTGAGGTGTTGACCTTCCTGCTTAAGGAACTTCCTGCAGGATGGAATGGTACAATCTCAGAGGAAGCTGCTGTTATTACTTGTGTGTATGTTTTAAAGGCTGACTGTTTGGCATTGAATAACCAATTGATTACCTCTGCCATCAATTGTTGATTTTTCCTTATATTCTATTTTATCTACCACATTGTATATAAAATACATCAGCCCACAGTGGGTCCTTTTCCTGTGGTTTGTATTCTAGAGCATTTCTGGTACTTTCGAGTACCTTCCAAACTGGCTTCTCTGGATCACCATTTTAAAACTTCTTGCTTTTATGACTGGATACATTGAACTTCAAATTGACTGAAAGGAGGACAATTCTGCCAAATAGTTCGTCTAAATGAGGCTGATCAAAATGATGACTTCCTCTGTGAACTATTCGGAAAATGAGTCATTCTGATTACAGCCAGACTGACCCTGCACCATGTTTAGTTCAGTGTGATAAGAAAGAAGGGTGAGGGGTGTCAGGAGAGATGGCTCAGTGGTTAAGGATACTTGCTGCTCTTCTAGAGGACCTGAGTTTCATTCCCAGCATCCACATCACAGATCACAACTATGTATAAGACAGTTCCAGAGGATTCAATGCTCTAATTTGACCTATACAGGCAAAACACCCATACGCATTAAATAAAAAAAAATAAATAAAAAGAAATATAAAATCATCACTAGAAATTGTTCCGCTCACTGAAAGAAAGGTTTTAATATATTATTACTCAATTTGTGCTCTGTAGAGCTCAAAGATACTGCATGACTGCTTTATCTGTCATGAGTGTCAGACTTCCATTACTTATGTGAAAAAAAGGTAAGATGTTTTTATGCATCAAAGCTGAAGCACAGGCCTTTCTTTCAAAAATGTCTACTTTCATTTTTCCTTAGTTTCTCCACATCACATCTCTGTATGAGGAGCCTTGCGGATTTCATGGTGACATCATCACTGATATTTCATAACTTAATGCCCTGCTTGTACGCCATGAGTTTTAATGACTCTTCAATGTCGTGGAAAGTTAAGACTGAATGTTACCAATTTTTAAAAAAAACTTTTTTTCAATTTTTATAATTTAATACCCTCTTCCTTCTACAGGCAGCAAGGAACTGTTTAGTCAGCTCTGCCTGTGTAGTGAAGATCTCAGACTTCGGGATGACGAGGTATGTGACATCTCCTTCTGCTGTGCACACTTGTAGGAGGGAGTCTTACGTTTAAAAAAAACAAAAACATCCTGTGTGTAGAGGCAGAGTACAATTTGTGGGAATCAGTTCTTTTCATGTGCCTATAATTCTAGGGATCAGATGCAGGTAGCCAGGCTTTGTATTTTTGCCTTTTCCCGCCAGGCCAGCTCGCCAGTTGCTGTTACCTCTTTTTTCCTTCTCTGGGGAGAGCTCTTGTGGGGAAGGCATCCGCGTGGGCTAAGTGTCCACGTGGAGGCACGGTGGATTCAGTCCACTTTGAATTTCAGGTCACGTGCCAGCTTTTCCTGTGAGGTGCGTGCTGACTGTGGCCTAACCCTTTTATTTATCTTATGTATATGAGTGCTCTGTTTTCATGCACACCAGACGGGAAATTAGATTCCGTTGAGCCACCACGTGGTTGCTGGGAATTGAACTCGGACCCCTGCTGTGCCATCTCTCCAGCCCTATTGTGGTTCTTTTCTTAGCTTCTTTCAGGTTTTTGTTGCTACAGCTATGTTAGATCTTAAAACAGAAGCAAGAATTTCTCGGTCCACTAGAATGTGTGTGATGAAGTAAATGTATTTTTCATGTGGAATGTATATTTTTTAAATTGTTTTTAATGTTAGTTTATTTACTTTATGTCCCAAGGGAGCCCCCTCCCTCCTCTCCTCTCTGTCACCCCCTATCCTTCTTCCCCCTTTCCCTCTCTCTTTCCCCGAGAAAAGGGGAGCCTCTTTCCCAGCACATCAAGTCACATTAGGCCTGAGCATATCCTCATCCACTGAGGCCAGGCAAGACAACACTGCTAGGGGGAAGTGATCCAAAAGCAGGCAATAGAGTCCGTGTTAGAAACATCCCCTTCCACTCGCCATATGAAGACCAGGCTGCCCATCAGCCACATATGTGCAGGGGGCCAGGTCCAGACCATGCTTGCTTCTTAGTTGATGTCAGTTGATGTCTCAGGCTCTGAAAGCCCCCATGGGACTGGCTGAGTTGTCTCTGTTGGTCTTCTTGTGAGGTTCCCGACCCCTCCAGGTCCTTCTGTCTTTCCCCCAACACTTCCACAGGATCCCCGGAGCTCTGCAAGTCCCAGCATCTGTCTGGATCTACTGCTGGCCGGAGCCTCCCAGAGGACAGTCATGTTAGGCTTCTGTCTGCAGGCAAAACAGAGCATCATTAGTAGTGTCAGGGCCTTGCTACCATGAGGTGGGTCTCAGGTTGGGCCATTTATTGGCTGGACATTCTCTCGATCTTTGTTCCCTCTTTATCTCTCTACTTCTTGTAGTCAGGGTAATTTTTGGATCAAAAGTTTTGTCGGTGGGTTGTTGTTGGAATACCAGTCGGCTATGGAAAACAAGGAAATCGTGAAATTTGTAGGCAAATGGATGGCACTAGAAAAGATCATACTGAATGTGATTTTTAAAAGAGAAAGAAATGTATTTTCTGAGGTCACCATTAGACACTATGTAACTATGTTTGGAAGCTGGAATAAATCTAAAGATGTATATACACAATCTTTTTTTTTTTTAGAGCTCTAGAAATTTAACCGTAATGAACTCAAGATTTCTTCAGCAGTCCAAACCCAAGTTTTAGGTGTCTCATGGCACTGTCCTGGAGGGGGTCTGGCTAGTCCTGTTGCAATATGCACAACACCATCTGTAACAATATCTGTGCATCCATTGCCCTCAACCTTTGTCCAGGCCTGGCCATTTGCACAAGTGGCTGCTGAATGTCTAGCTAGACGATTCCTCCAGACAATTTCAAGGGGCTGACTAAGGTCTGGTTTACTGAGGAATGTCAAGACACATTTTTAAAGAACCTTTCTGCCTTTGCTTGGGCTTTAATTAGGAAGAGGGCACTGGATACGTGTTGCTCTGTAGTGCCACTGTCCTCCTGTGGGGACGAGAATGTTCTCACCCAGGGATCTCTTCCCCTAAGCATCTTGTTAATAGATCTGTCCTTCTTTAAAGTCTAATCTAGAGACAATACAAATCAGTAGAACAGGACCTCCCCTTCACTGTTTCCTCTCACATAAGTCTTTTTTGAGTCAGGGTCTCTCTTTGTAGCCTTGGCTGTCCTGGAATTCTCCATGTAGATCAGACAGGCTGAGAACTCACACAGATCTGCTTGCTGCTGCCTCCTAAGTGCTGAAATTATAAGTGCACACCAGTATACCCAGCTTCCCAGTCTTTACAAGATTTTCTTCAGACTTTATTTTTATTTTCTATGTGTAGGTGTTTGTTTTGCCTGAGTGTATGTCTGTGTACCACATGCATGGAGTGCCTGGTACAGGTCAGAGGAGGGCATCAGATCCTCTGGAATTGGAGTTACAGACAGTTGGGTTGAGAGCCACCGTGTGGGTGCTAGGAACAGAACCTGGGTTCTCTGGTAGAGCAGCCAGAGCTCTGAACTACTGAGCCATCTCCCCAGACTCACCGTATGCAGTCTTTACAGAGCTGGGATTCAAGGTGGAATTAAATAGAATACATGGGGAAAAGTGGGTGCCTGAGGACAGCAATAATAAATAATTCAAAAAACTTTATTTTACAAGGGGCTGAAGTCAGCTGTCTCTTCTCTCTCAGTTCCCATGCCTTCGGTATTGCTGCTTATGGATCTTAAAAAATGTCATTCTTAATTTGTAGAAAATATACTGTATAGTATACTAGATAGTTTTCCTTATCAGAAGTTTGTAATGACACACTGTTATTTCTCTCTCTTTTTGTGCCACACAAAATATAAGCATATGAAAGAAAATATGACATCCAGTTTTGAATCTGTGTTTTATGAGATGAGGGGTCTTTTACTTATCACTTACCTCCTTTTCGTTACCTTTGCTCTTAGAGCACAGGGCACATTTCTTTGCAGAATCAAGACTGGACCCTAAAGAACAAAATTTGGGGACCGTAGAACTGTGGTTTTTAGAGATCCACCGAAAATGAAATCAAGGAGACATGGTTCTAGAGGAGGGAACTAAATCAAAGGCTGTTTCACTATCTGTCGTCAAGAAGACTCAGCACACAAGTTCTTTCCATGGGAAAGCGCTGTGCTTTAACAGATTGGAGCTGACAAGAGTATGTGATAATATTAGGCCTGGTTTGAGGCCATTAACACAGTATGTTTGAATCCCACAATGGCAGGTATGTTTTGGATGACGAATACATCAGTTCTTCTGGAGCCAAGTTCCCAGTCAAGTGGTCCCCGCCTGAAGTTTTTCACTTTAACAAGTACAGTAGCAAGTCTGACGTCTGGTCATTTGGTGAGTATGTTTGTTTGTTGCTAGACTTACTACACTGGTAGTCTTTCCTTTCCAGCTCTTGTTTGTTTTTTGACACTATGTAGCGGTGTTTGAAAGTTTTCTTGTAACTGCTTTGGCAACTGGCGTCACCCAGCTCCCCACATAGCTCTGTGCTCTGGATCTTTTCCTTGCTCAGTGAACACGTACCATGAAGCTGTAACAAGAAGCCCGCTGATCTAGAAGGCACGTGCAGCCAACGCTGCCATGTCACAGCTGTTTGAAGGAGGAGGTCTACATCATCACCGCATTTCCAGTGTGTTTGATAAGTTCCGTTGTTTAATTATGCAGCAGCTTAATTGTAACTGTCTGTTCGTTTGAGCTGATTTTCAAACCGTGGCTACTGATGAGCAAAAATCTGTTAACTTTCATCTAGAACTTCCTGGGTGGCTTTGAGGCTTAGAGAGACGTTCTTGTTCTCACAACTGAGGGGGTCTATTCCTCACGGTAACGTTAGGCTTGATCTTCTTAGCTCCCTTCTGACTTCCTCTCTGCGGTAAGGTTTTTGAGCTTTGCTGGGGAGGATTATGCTAGTGCATTTTAGTTGCCTAGGTGGCTGGGGTGCAATTGGAACTCATTGGGTTCACACTCCTCCTCCTTGGGTGGTGAGCTACTGAGCTTGTTCTCTCTCTCTCTCTCTCTCTCTCTCTCTCTCTCTCTGTACATATACTGTAGATGCCAGGAGACATTCTTGGGTATCATCTTCAAGAATGCCATCCAGCCCCTTTGAGATAGTCTCTCATTGGATTCGAGCTCACCAATTAGACTAGTGATTCCTGGTGGCCAGTGGGCCCCAGGCATCTGCTCATTTTTACCTCCCCAAAGTTGTGATTACAAGAGGACATTACTGTGCCAGACATTTTAAAAAAGATTTATTTTTATTATTTTTAGTTATATGAATATGTGTGGGTATGTGTATGTGAGCGCATGTGCCCATGGAGGCCAGAGGCATTGGATTCCCCTGGACCTGGCGTTACTGGCAGCTGCGAAGTGCCTGCCACGGTTGCTGGAAACCAGTTGTGGGTTCTCGGCAAGGGGAACATCAGTACTCCCAACCACTGAACCATCTCTCCAGGGATGCCAGGCATTTTGACATGGGTTCTGGGTATCAACCTCGGGGCTCCATATCTGTAAGCAAAACCGTTACGAACTGAGCTATCATTCCAGCCCCTGCTGGATTTTGTAGGGTTCTTCCTATCGGCTTAGTCTCTTCATGGAAAGAGGCAGACATGTGCCATCTGCTTTCTGGGGGCCTGCTGGCTGCAGCAGGCAGAAAAGGCTCACACAAATATGTCATTACCTATGGAAGAGCAGAAAGATCCACGGATTTGATGATGTGGGGACAGGAGGAGGTGGGAACAGGAACAGTACTTAGCAATGAAAATGCTGCTGCATTCTCTGCCATGGGGAGGCTGTTGTGACCAAAACAAAGGTACAGACTTCTTAAAAACTCAGGGTACACAGTCTGCTTCCCACCTAGAATTGCTTTCTTTCTGGGCAATTATGGTTTCGAGGCTGCGGGAGATTAAGGTCTTGAAATCTGAATCAAGATATTGTTTGGGTTCCAACGGACTCTTGTTTTCTTTGCAGGAGTTTTAATGTGGGAAGTTTTTACAGAAGGAAAAATGCCTTTTGAAAATAAGTCAAATTTGCAAGTGGTGGAAGCCATTTCTAAAGGTTTCCGGCTGTACCGCCCTCACCTGGCCCCCATGTGCATCTATGGAGTTATGTACAGCTGCTGGCATGAGGTAGGTGTCCCTTATTATGGAGACTGTACCGTGGCAGCCCGAACTGCCTGTTCCCTGGTAATGACCCTGAGAGTCAGTGCGCCGTTTCTCTTATGAGCTCCCCCCACCCTCTACCCAGTTTTTCCACAATGGACTTTCATCTGGGAGCTCATTTCCAAGTCTTATCTATCTGAGCTTGGTTCTTGCAGAAACTGCATGTTTCTAAAGGCTCATGATTAAATGATTTATTATCTGGAAGAACTGGGTGGTGGAGCTGAGAAAAAAAAAAAACCTGGCTTGTTGAACTTCTCCACAGGATAAGGAACTTGCTGCTTTATTCACCGAACTTCATTTTCATCTGCCTTTGCTTTCAAGGCCAACAGTAGCGGGTTTCATCTCTTCCTGGCATTTAAGACTCCTGATAGAGAGATTAAACCAGAATAGAAACTGAAGGCAGATTGTGCTGGGAACCTCCATTTGGGAAACCATCACTTAGGAGTTGCTCTTTTTGTTGAAATGCCAAGATTAAAAAATCAAGCCGGAGGGGCTGGGTTTCTGTTCCCCTCTCTCTCCTTTTCCGGGCACCTATTCAACACAGCCCTCCTGCTCTGCTTTGTAATCAGCAGGCTTAGCCCAGAAAAAAATCATAGCTTAGTGGGGGGTCTCCTGCTGCCAGAAAGACAAACAACAAACAGACCCATAAACCAACAAACCCATCATTTGATTCCCAACTCACAAACACTGGGAAAAAAAACCCCAGTATTTCAAGAATGGTGGGACTATTCATATTCCAGAGAAGTATTTCCTTTAGAGAGATCCCCAGTGTATGAAAATAGTCACAATTAATTGTTCCACAAGGAATCTTGGAAGATCAAGAATTGTCAAGTAAGCTGTTAGTGACAACAGCTGCCTTCGGACTGTCTTTGCCATCACAATGTACATATCTTAGGACATGCAGATGGTGGCTGCAATGTTTTTGACTTAGAAATTTCTAATTTTATAATGCCATAGTTTGAGCACTAAATGTTGATCTTTTCCTTGATGAATAATATAAGGTATGAGCCTCTATCGGGATGCTGGGAAGGGGCCCATCTTCCTGGCAGCCACAGATCATGAGAACGAACAAATGGTTACTGTAGACTGTTGCTAAGCTGTGACTTCCGAAAGAGTACTCACATAAAACGCATCTTCAGCTTACGACATTTTCAACTTAGAATGGGTTTACTAGGAGATGACCACGCCCTAAGTCAGGGAGCCCTAACACACACACACAAGTGCTTAAAGCATGGCAATCTTATGTATTATTTAGATGGATATGAGCCAGAGAGGAGGAAGGGTAAACAGGATGGTTACAGAAGGAATAATGAAATGAACTTAGTCTCAAATTGAAGTCAGAAAATGTACCCAAACAACACACACACACACACACACACACACACACACACACACACACACACACACGTGCTAAAATAAGATATAAAGCTACTTATTTTTTTTTTCTAGTTTTTCTGTCATAGAGCTGTTTTCTGTGGTGGGTAAGCGAAAAAAATGTAATTAGTGATGGAGTCTAATTGCCTAGGTTGAAGTCCTGAGGCTTGAGGAGGGCCCTTCTAACTGTATAGAAGTTCACTGAGATGTAGAGAGTTTGGGACTAGGTAAATATTTGCTTGAGCGGCTTCCTTAAACTGGCTGTGTGGTGTTTCTGACTGTGGGTTAATTGGAATAAAGTGATTTTTTATTTATCAAAAAAGGACTATGTTTCCATTGATAAACACGCCAGAGACTCCACCTGATGACCTTGGACCTCCCAGAAAGGTACCGTGATTGACTCTCGGACCCTCATCAAGGATCAGGATGCACTCCTCATCAGACAATGCACATTCCATTCTCTCCCACCCGCCTTGCCCCCTTTTTCATTCCGTTGCTGTGCGCAGCTCCAACTCCACCAGATTCCAAAGGTGCCACAGTGCCATGTCTCTGTTCAGGGGGACAGAGCCAAACCAAATCTCAAGGTGCCACAGGGAGCAGTGCTCTGATCTCTGCTTCCACTGCCAATGGCCTGGTTGACCGTGCTCCAGGGCTTACGAAGTAGATCCTCGAGGAGATGTGCCCTTCACTTTCTGCGTGAAACCCTTCCTGCTAGAGGGAACCAGTATAGTAAACTGACGCTGAACTGGGGGGACCTCACAATCTAAATCCCGTCATGTTCCAGAAGAAATTTCTGTAGGGGTAGAAATAGTCTGTGTGTACTCTGTCCATAGAGTAGCCAACTCTGGCTACAGAGGATCTGGAAAGTGGCTAGTATGGTTGAAGAACCAAGTTGAAATACTTATTCACTTTTAGTTTATTTACATAGTCACGTGTAACTAACGCATACAGTCTTGTCTGTGCTCTATACTGTTCCCCTCTCACCCATGCCTTCCTCACATGCAAATCATGCCACTGTGTGCCAGCCGAGATACACTGTTCTTCAGTTTGTGCACAGCCAGCATAGGCTGAGGGCTCTGTCTGTAAGTCCCACAGCTGGTGTATGAGTGAGGGGCAAGCTGAGCTGAACGGCTGGCTCTCTTTCTTTTTTCCAGAACCCTAAAGGCCGCCCAACATTTGCCGAACTGGTTCAGGTTCTCACAGAGACTGCGGAAACCTGGTGACCAGAAATGGAATGCCAGTCCACAGGCTCATCTTGCAAAACACTGTCACAAGGTGAAATCAGGGGTATCGCTGATGGGGAGTGTCCTCCATTAGGGTTGTTGACTCTTGGCAATACAGCAAAGGTCACAGGCTTTCCACACTGATTTCAAGGCAAAATATTCTGATAGTTTTTCTCCATGTGCGAGAGGGACTTCTGAACTACACTTCTATGTTTCACATCTTATATGTGAACGGAGGGGACTCCACCTCTGTCCTCCAAGTGGCTTCTTCATGATTGGCGCCCACAGAACCCTAAAGTGTATGTGGAACCCTGATTCTTCATAAGAAGCTGAGGCAACTTCTTTCCTGAGGACTGAAATTCCTCTCTGGTGTGGTCCATTCGGAGAGGAAACAACAGCAACCACCAGATTCTGCCAATTCATGGAATAAAGAAGCCTCCCTGACAGAGTTTCATGTTTGGGGCTGTACAAATGTTTATGAAAAACATGCCTTTGGAAACCTATGTGAACATTCTGGCAATGCCTTTTATTATCTTGCCGTATGTTATTTAATAAACTCTTTGGTTATTGTGGGTCATAAGGTTCTAGTTTTTAACACTGTTGAAAACCTGGACCAAAGCGCCCTTTGAACACACATTGGCGAAATTTCTATTTTTTGTGCTATACATTGTCAGGGCCTTCGGACATGTGAGACGGAGCTACCTAAGATGCCTCGTTCTGTCATAACGACTGTCTCCAGTACTTTCTGTAGGATGTCACCTTCTATCCAAATGAGGAGGCCACGGGGTGAACAGATGTGGCACACGCCTTTAATCCCAGCATACGAGGCTGAGGTAGGAGGATCTCTGTGAGTTCTGGGCCAATCCAGGCTACATATCGAGCTCCAGTACAGTTCTTAGTCTATCATACAGTCTTCACGGGAATGGACTGCAAACTGATTTTTATTATTCTTCGCGCTTCAGGGACCCCAGGAGAAGAACAGCACCTTGTGAAACAGAAGCATGATTACAGGGAACTTTCTCGGGGGGAGCCCATATCTACACACTGTCCCTCCCAGCAGGGTGGCTGTAGGGGAATTTGCTTTACGATTATGTTTTTACTCTGTTGCCATTGGAGTTTTTAAATTTATTTTTATTTTTAAATAATTTTATACATTACTTGTATCCCAGCTGTAGCCCCCTCCCTCTTTCCATCTCAATCCTCCCCCCTCTCCCTCATCTCCTCCCTGCCCCTTTCTGAGTCCACTGATAGGGGAGGTCCTCCTCTCCTTCTATCTGACCCTAGCTTATCAGGTATCCTCAAGACTGGCCGCAATGCCCTTATCTGTGGCTTAGTAAGGCTGCTCCTCCCTCAGGGGAAGGGCATGCTCAATGAGCCAGTCATTGAGTTCATGTCAGAAATAATTCTTGTCCCCCTTACTAGGAAGCCCACTTGGATACTGAGCTACCATGGGCTATGTCTGAGCAGGGGTTCTAGATTATATCCGTGCATGGTCCTTGATTGGAAAAACAGTCTCATAGAAGACCCCTGTGCCCTGATATATTTTGACCTTGTGGGGCTCCTGTCCCCTCTAGGTCATACTAACTCCTCCTTCTTTCATATGATTCTCTGCACTCTGTCAAAGGTTTGGTTATGAGTCTCAGCATCTGCTTTGATAGAGAGTCTTTCAGGTGCCCTCTGTGTTAGGCTCCTGTCCTGTTACTTGTTTTCTCCTACTTCCAATGTCGATCCCCTTTGTCTTTCTAGGTGAGTATTGATCATCTTACTCTGGTCTTCTTTTTTGTTTATCTTCTTTAGGTGTACATATTTTAGTATGTTTATCCTATCTTATAGGTCTAGTACTCACTTATAAGTGAGTATATACTGGGTGTGTCTTTCTGCTCCTGGGATACCTCACCCAGGATCTTTTTTTTTTTTCTAGATCCCAGCCATTGGCTTTTCATATCTTTATTTTTTTATCTTTATTTTTTAAAATGTACATTCTAATTATGCTTTCTCCTCCCAGTTCCTCCCACCTCCCCATCCAGATCCACTTCATTTCTGTCTCTCGTTAGAAAAGAACAGGCTTCTAAGATATAACAATTAAACACAACAAAATAAAATATAATTGGATAAAACAAAACTCCTCACGTTGAAGTTGGACAAGGCAAACCAATGTAGGGAAAGAGCCTCAAGACAAGGCTCAAGAATCAGAGGCCCCACGTGATCAATCACTCAGGAGTCTCATTAAAAAAAAAAACAAAAAACCAACTATGCTGAAAGCTATAATATATATGAAGAGGACCTGAGGCAGATCCGTGTGTTTGTTGCTTCAGTCCCTGTGAGTTCATGTGGCATTTGCTCCGTTGATTCACAGGGCCTTGTTCTCCTCTATCCCTTTATCCTCTTATACTCTTCTGCCTCCTCTTCCTGTGGGGTTCCCTGAGCTCTGAGGAGAGGGATTTGATGGAGACATCCCATTTAGAGCAGTGTGTTCCAAAGTCTCACTCTTTGCCTAATGTCTGGCTGTGGGTCTCTGTCTTTGTTCCCATCTGCTGCAGGAGGTAGCTTCTCTGGTGATGGCTGGATAAAGCACTGATCTATCTACAGCAGAATGTCATTAGGAGTCATTTTGATGGTTACTTTTAAATATTTGAACCAGTAGTATTTGGTTTTACCCCAGGTCTCTAGGCTATCTATTCTCTGGATTTTAGTCACTCAAGTCATATTCTAGCTGCCTCTTCCTGCATTTCCTCCCTCAACCCCATCTTCTCACTTTCCTTCCACTTGATCCTCCTGTTCCCGTTCTACTTGCTGCCACTCTACCTATAAAATCTATTCTATTTCCCTCTCCCCGGAAGAACCATGTGAACTCCCCCATTCCCTTCCTCAATACCTAACCTCTCTGGTTCTATGGATTGTAGCTTGTTTATTACTTATTTAAAGGCTAAAATCCACATATAAGTGAATGCATACCATATTTATCTTTCTGGGTGTAGGTTACCTCACTTTTTTTTCTAGTTCAATCCATTTGTCTGTAAATCTCATGATGCCATTTTTTAAAGCAGCTGGGTAATACTCTATTGTGTAAGCATACCACATATTATTTATCTATTCTTCCGTTGAGATAGACATCTAAGTTGTTGCCAGTTTCTGGCTATTATGAATAGAGCAGCAACGAACATGGTTGAGCAAGTGTCATGGTGGTAGGATCAAGCATCCTTTGGGTATTTGGGTATAAGAGTGGTATAGCTAGATCTTGACGTAGATTGGTTCCCAACTTTCTGGTGAACTACCACACTGATTTTCTTAGTGGCTATACAAGTTTGCACTTCCACCAGACTGACAAACAAACTCACAAGACACATGTAATCTAGTACTGGCTTTTGTCGCTGTTTTATGTAAGGGTACATGCCAGAGAACAAGACACGCACAGTTTCTTGTCTCTGTGAGTGTCCTCCCAGTCTCCTGTCCTTCCAGTCTCCATGAAGCCAACAACTCTTGCCCTCACCTGCCCAGAGAGCAATTATAATTGCTATGGGATGCTAGACCCCCCCTTCCTTCATTTCCCTATTTGTAGAAATGTCATGCAGGCTGACAGTTCACAGGTCTCCACCCTCTGTTACCCAACATAGGATCCCCAATGTACACAACAGATATGTGCTCCGGCACCCAACATTACAATTTTATCTTAACCGGGATCACTTACAAAGGACCGGTGCTGGGAGAAAATAAACTTAAAATCTCCCCAGGTGAGTTCTAGGTCTTCGAGAAAACGCGCATTGTCTTGCTGTGCTGTCCTTGACTCCCACATACATAAGTATACAGAGCTGACATGGTGGCTTCATTCGTGTCATGAATGAAGTTCTTTGTTTAACCCCCCGCACTGCAGAAGACTGAAAACCATGTATGGATATAACCTAGAACCTCTGCTCAGATGTAGCCTGTGGTAGCTCAGTAACCAATTGGTTCCCCATAGTGAGGGGAACAAGGACTGTTTCTAACAGGAACTCAATGACTGGCTCTTTGGCCTCCCCACCCCCCAAGGGAGGAGCAGTCCTGTTAGGCCACAGAGGAGGGCTTTGCAGCCAGTCCTGAAGATACCTGATAAAACAGGATCAGATGAATGGGGAGAAGGTCCCCCCTATCAGTGGACTTGGAAAGGGGCACGGTGGAGATGAGGGAGGGAGGGAGGGACTAGGAGGGAATGAGGGATTGGGACACGGCTGGGATACAGAGTTAATAAAATGTAACTGATAAGAAAAAAATAAAATTAAAAAAAAAAGAAAATGTATTATTCTTTTCCATATACTAGATTTTGATCACATTCTTTTCGTTCCCACAACTCCTCCCGGATGCTCCCCGCTTCCCCACCCACTCCCCACTCAACTTGACATCTCTTTCTCAAATAAACAAGAAACACAGCAAAAATGAAAATCAAAGCAGACAAAACTAAAACCCAGAAAAATGAATAAGACAAAACGAAATACTAAAACTAGACAAAAATTACACACAAAACCCATGGAATCCTTTTTTTTTGGCCACATATTCTTGGTCATTGGGCCTGCCCAGGAGCGTGGTTGATATATCCAGTAACATTTCACTGGAAAAAAAAGATTAATTTCCCCTTGCCCAAAAGGTATCTACTGCAAACAGCTTCTTGACTAGGGAGAAGACTCTGTGACTGTGGTGGTTTGAATGAAAATGGCACATAGAGAGTGGCCATATCAGGAGGTATGGCCTTGTTGGAGGAAGTGTGTCTATGGAGGTGGGCTTTGAGGTTTCATGTCCAGTGTCTCTCTCTCTCTCTCTCTCTCTTTCTCTCCCTCTTTCCCTGCTGCCTACTGATCTAAATGCAGAACTCTCAGCTCCTTCTCCAGCACCATGTCTGCCTGCATGCTGGCATGCTTCCCACTGTGACAATAACAGATTAAACCTCTGAACTTGTAAGCCAGCCCCAGTTAAATGCTTTCCTTTGTAAGAGTTGCTGTGGTCATGGTGTTCCTTCACAGCAATAAAACCCTAGCTAAGACAGTGTCTGTTTTTTCCTTCTTAGTGCTGGGACCTTGTCTGGCTTGAACCTATTCAGGTCTTGTGCTGCCACAGTCTCTGTGAGTTCATGTGTGCATCGTCTTGTCGTGTCTGAGAGAGGCTGTTGCCTTGGAGACATCTGCCATCTCTGACTGTCACAGTCTTTCTGCCTTTTGCTATCCATAAATCCCTGAGACTTGAGGGGAGGGGTTTGATAAAGACATCCCATTTAGGACCAAGTGCTCCAAAGTCTCTGCACATTGTTCAGTTGTGGGTCTTTGTGTTAATTTTCATAGACTGCAAGAAGCTTGTCTGATGGAGGCCGAGCAATGCTCTGGTCTGAGTCCCAGCATAACGAGGCAGCTGTGTTGACTAAAAGCAAATTGAAAATTAAAAAAGAGAAAGCTACAATGTATAGATAGTCTAACTAATGTTCATAATGTATAGGCATTTGTGTAGCCAGGTGCAGAAGAAGTGATATTTCCCAGAATCCCAAGCAATTTGTACTTCCTATCTAAA